TATCTGACTCTCCCTCCCACCCTCCCTCCTCCTTACCAGGTGGCTTTGTCTGTGATAGGGACCCTGAGCCCCCTGGACACTCACAGCAGCCAGCGCCTCCCAGTTCCTTGACCCCAGCACTTCCCCCTAAAACCACAGGGAAAATGGCCCTCACATTCCCCTGAAGGCTCATCCCCAGGAAGCTCAAGCGGGGGATTTCATTCTTCCAGGGACAAGAGTCCAACTTTCCATTCTTGCAAATATGACCTTGCTCCTCCATGAGATCAAAGTCTTGTCCATTCCTGAGCCCCAACCCCCCGACCCTGGGCTCCTGCTGGTTACATCTCTGGCTTCATTCGGTGCACCTAGGTGATCCAAGGCCCGCGTGTCCCTGTCCTACCCCTCCACGCCTGCCTCAGTCCTGTCCTGGTTCCGTCCCCACATTCCCAGGGCCCCCAACGCCCGCCTTCTCTGGGACGAGGCGCAAGAATGGATTAGCTCTGCACCCCCTCCTCCAACTGCCCATCTCCCAGCAGTTCTCACCTGTGCCCTTCAGGTAGGAGGGTGCCCGCCAGCTGGGCGCTGGGCACTGGGCGCTGGGCTGGAGCCCGGTCCCGGCTGCACGGGGCTGCCGAGCTCCGGAGGGAGGTGCGGAGAGGCCCGGGAAGGCGCGCTCCGCTCGCAGAGGCCGCCGAGAAAGTTGGAGTAGGTGTGTCCCAGCCCCGGAGGAGGAGGGGGGAGGGAGGGGGGAGAGTTGAGGCGGATCATCCCTCCTGCCAGCTCCGTCTCACCGAGAGGGAGGGAGGGAGCCAACTGGTTTGTGGCCCAGAACTCACGGTGGGGAATCGAGTCATGGAAAATGACGGCTGGAAAGTTGCTGAGAGCGCAGGCCCATGGCCACCTCCTTCCTCAGTCTTACAGAAGCACCCACTGAGACCCTAGACAGGTAGAGAACTCACCCGAGGACGCATGGGGGCCATGACGGGACTGGGAAAGGACTCAGGTCGCTTAGGTCTTCTTCCTCTCCACTGTCCTCCCCCAGGCTACAGATCTGAGAGACAACCACAGTCATCCCTCCCTCCCCGAAAGGCCTGGTTCAAAACCCTGGCACTGCCATGTCCTGGCTCAGTAACCTTGGGCGAGTGACTTAATCTGAGCATCAGTTTCCTTTTTTGAAAAGATGGAGATAATAACTCCCGCCTCTCGAGGTTGTCATGGGGATTAAATGAGATAAAGGTTGATGGGGAGCATTTAGCAAAGAAAGTCCCTCATGAAAGCTAATTCTTCTTGTCATTAGCTGTGACTCCCTCTGTAAATGACAACCTCGCCAAGCTCTGGCTTCCCATCTGGGAAATGGGGGGAGCAATGATGTCTACTTCATAAGGTTGTGCAAATTTATAAGACAGATAATGTGTGGAAAGTACAGAGCACAAAGCCTGGCATCTCGCTGGGAAGCAAGACATCTTAGTTTGACATATTTAATAGGATGCCTCTCTGCTCTGGCTTCCCAGATAGTCCAATAGGCTCCCCATGTTGAGAACCAGTGTTTTAAGAGAAGGGAAGAAGAATTAAGACGGGAATTAGTCTCTCTCTCTCTCTCATTGCCACACTTTTTTGTTGTGGATGCATTCATTTGCTTGTTTCTTGCATACGCACACATGTGAGGCCCTACACCTCCCGTTTCCAGGCACTGGGGACATAAAGGAAATGAAATGGTTCCTGCCCCGGAGAGCTGAAACAGCTCTGAAACCATCCTGTCTAATTCCCTCTCTCTCCCCAGGACTTGCAGCCCCTTTGTAGCTTTCCTGGCAAATGAGTCTTTGCTTGCACACTTCTAATTATAGGGAGCTCATTACCTCTCCCAGCAGTCAGTTCTGTTAGTAATTCTACTTGATGGTCAGCTGAGCAGCCACCCTTGAACCTGGTTAATAACCAGGTTTTCTACATCTCTGTGTTATTACTATTATAAGCTATGTGACCCAAGGCAAATGACTTACATTTGCAAAGTCTCTTTTGTTTCCTTATTTGTTAAATGGACTCACAACTGCCGGGCCCACTCAGAACAGATCTACTTTCTCTGCCATGTGACAAAAACTGAGGTCTGCATCTGTGGTCTAGGACTTGGTTTCCTAGTTCAGGCTGGAGAGTGGAACTGTTAAGGTTCATGAGGCTCTTGGCTATTTCCCAGCTCTCAGAATATGTTCATAATGGAGATGCTGCAGCCACTGTGGGCTGTGCCCTTGGCGATCTGTCACCGGCATCCGGGATGACCACAGGTGTCAGGCTGCTGCAGTATGTTGCCCAAGGCGTCCCGAGGAGCTCCATTCGAGGAAGACTCTCCCAGGTCTCCCTCCCACAAGCCGCCTCAGGCCTGCGTGAGAGGCCTAGGGGTTTGTAGTGTGAGGGGAGCTTCTGTGATCAACTCCAGTGGGAAGGCTAACCTGGGCAATTATCCACTTGGCTGATTGCCGCCCAAGTCCCTGAGTCTGGGCCGATTAGGCATTAACCCAAGGGAGGGTGGCAGAGCGGCCCCACGAGCCCTTTGACTAGTCATGTGCAGAGTGGCAGGCGACCATCTTCCTTCAGGCCCCCCATTCAGGCCAAGGCTGGCCCCCAGCCTGCCCAGTGCAGGGACTGTCTGCAGCCTGGGGGGAAGGGGGAGGTGAGCATTGGGATGTATGGCAGAACCCCGTAATGCCATCCCCTCCTCTCTAGGCCCTCTGCCACTCCTGACCCAGGCCCTAATCCTTCTTTTCCCTGCTGGCTCCAGGACCCAGCTGGGAGATCTTCTGGCCTCTAGTCCCTCGTGCACCAGGAAATGGACTCCTCATGTCCCCCAAGCATGCTTGGAAGCCTCGCATTCCCAGGCCCCTGCTCACAGCTTCCTGGGTATCTGAAATTGTACCTATCCATCTTGGGACCGCCCATATGCTACCCCTTCTCTGTGAGCTCCCCCAACCATGCGCCTGACCTGATCGATTGGTAATAATAATAATAATAGCTCGTCTTTATGTCGGGCATTCAACCAGCACTCTGCAGGGATTGTCTAATTTCTCTGAACACCACCACGATGGAGTAGGCGCTGTTCTCATTCTCTGTCTTTTGGGTGAAGAAACGGAAGCTCACCAAAGCTTTAGTTACTGGTCCAAGGTTGCTGGTCTAAACTTAGCTGAGTTTCAAGCCCCAATCTGTCTGAACCTAACCACTGAACTGCACTGCTCTGGGTCTCTCCTCCCAACCTGCAGCCCGCTGGCCGAACCTCCTGTGTGACTCTCTACTTTGGGCCCCACTTCTGCGTGCTCCCTTCTCTTCACGCAAGTCCAGCCCCGCTCTATGCTAAGCTCCTCAGGGTTGGATATCTGGGTAACCCAGGGGTGCTGCACCTTAGCATCCCAGTACCCCGGAGTCTAGGCATGGGGGGGGGGGCTTCTATAAATCCTGATGCCCAGGCCCCACCCCAGACCAATTACATGGAACTCTCTGGGGTGGGCCCCCGCATCAGGGTTGCTACGCAGGGGCAGGCATGTTGTAGGCACTAAAAAGAATTACATCTGGTTCTGAATCCCCAGTCTGGACCTCAGATCCCCCAGCTCAATGAAGCAGGTATTGAACTCTGACCTTTAACATCTATCTCTGGGGTCCTACAGTTCTGATATTCTCTGCAAGGATGCTGTAGGCTTCTACAGAAAGGCCTGGCAGATAGTCACTGTCCACTCCCCTGCTTGCCCAGGAAAGCCGCACTCTCCCCTGTGGACCGGCTGAGCTGTTCCTCCCTACGTTCATCGTGGGGTAGAGAATATAAATGAGGGCCTGAGCAGTGATGAAAACTCTAAGCAGGTGGCAAAATTTCAGGGTGCCCATAGAGTCTGGAAGCACCGATAGTATTATGTTCATTTTTAACAGACTGAACCCCTTTGATTCCTTCTGGGGCAGGCTATAGGCTCAGGTTTATTTGGTGAAAATCATAGACATACATTATCAGAGACCACACATCTCAAATGCACGTGCAGGGTTGGTTGGCCAACGTCCTGGTTGGCCCAGGACTAAGGGGGTTCCCAGGATGTAGGACTTTCAGTGCTATAACTGGGAGGTCCCAAGGGAAGGGGACCTGTCCGTCACCCTAGTGGAGGGAACTGCTGCCTCACTGCATGGCCCACATCTGCTGCGCACCCAGAGGAGGTGCCAAGGAAGTGCGGTCCACCCTGGAAGACCAGGCTCAAGAGAAGATTCAGCTCACTGGGAACAGTTAGCTGACGGAGACGATGCGTTCAGTGAACATGAAATGCAAACTGTCATTTCAGGGCAGGGGTCCCTCCCTCCTACTGCGTTCTCCCCGGGGAGGGGCACACAGCAGGATGGGAGTGGGGCTGCGAGACAGGTACAGAGCAGAGACCCTAGAGTCTGGTCTGTGAGCCGGTGGACGGAAAAGATTCAGAGGCCTGGCTGTCAAAGGGACATGATGCCTTTAAGGGGGATGAAGTCATCGGGGCTGTGGCCACCTGGCTGCTCGAGGGTTGCAGCCGAGAGGGAAAAGCAGAAGGTGGAAGGCAGGTGGGACGTGGGGGCTGAGCCTGGGATGTCAGCTCTGTGGCTGACAGACGGGACCCAGCAGGAGTGGGAACAGCCAGCCCTGGCGTTGCCTGGGGTGCCCGGGAATGTAATCAAACACCCAGCAGACCCGCTGGCCATGGGCATCTGGATACCACCGGGCCCTCCAGCTCATCTCGACCCCCAGCTGGCAGTTCTGACAAGCTCCTGCCAGGAGGAGCGTCCGGTCTTGTTGGCCAGCCGGTGAGCATGAGCTCATCTGCCACCAATCCAGCCTGTAGTGGGCCTGCCCCAGGCTGGTGCTGGTGGGTGGGGCACTGTGCTGATAGCTAATGGAGCCAGGCAGCCTGCTTCAGTGGCCTTGGTTAGGCCACCCCAACAGGAAGCCTGGGAGGTGGACTTCAAACAGAATCTCTGATGCTATCCACACCCTCACCTGCCCCAGACTTGGGGCTCTGATGTGGCCCTGGCCCAGGGACAGTACCCCTCCCAGGTCCCCTTCTACACAACCATGAACGACATTTCCAGCAGTCTCTTCCATTTCTCCCTATTGCATGGTAACAACAATAATAATTGCGGTGATAATAACTAATATTTGTTTTAATTTAAGTACATCATTTCATTTAATCCTCAAATAGATCTTCGTGATGAGGTACTATTATTACCATTCTCATTTTGCAGAAGAAGAAACTGAGTCAGAGGTTTAAGTGACCTGTCCAAGGTCATCCTCCCCTTAAATGGTAGAGCCAGGATTTGGGCTAAGTTTATCTTGCTCCAAAACTGAGCTCTTAGCCTCCACCCCAATGTCATGCTCCAACTAGATCACAGGGTTGGGACCCATGAGCATGCCGCGTGCATCTCGACAGGCCCTGCTCTTGATTCAATGCTCTGTTCTCTGTCTTGCAAATCTCAGTTCTGAATAAGCTTCCCACATTGTCGTTTTGCACTGGGCCTCATTGATGATGCCGCTGGTTCTGCAGATCAGCCGTCTTACTGCTCCACAGCCTCAGCCCAGACCCCTCCATCTGCTCATGGGGCATCTCTAC